TAGGGTTGGTATTATATTCTTGATATAGATATTATAAACTAAATAGACCGAAATACCCTCCGGTACAATGCTCATATAAAAGTCTAGCCATAATTTTTAACTTTTTAAATGTTAAAATTATCTTAGCTACAATTGTTGACTTTTTTAAGTAGATATTACACAGATAATATTTGTGATAAATAAAGAAGGAGAAGAATGAGATTATAGTTTAATATCGGATATAATATATTATTGAATTAGAATGGAATGAATATAAAATTTTATACCACCTAAATTTTATACTCAAAACAAAAATGCCTTGTATGATTAGGCGTACGGTAGACTCTCCCTAAATAAATTAGTTGAAGTAAAAAAACAAAGGGTCTGTTTTCCATTCACCGTCATTGCCAGTTTATGTTTGAAGTGAACCATGCCTCCTATTGGGTCCCACAATATTTTATAAGATTTTTTTTTCATTTTTTTTATATTTAATGAGGATAGTAAAGGACAATCAATGAGAAACATTTAAATAAAAAGAAGTTCTGGACAAAGAATAATTTCAGATGACGAGCTTATTTTTTGTTAATTACAAGATGTTCGGATCTTTTAAAGCATTTAACTAATTTTTTTGGTTTCTCATGACGTATGTAGCATGATAGAACAGGGATAAAAATTTGATGGGCACTAATTAATTCAACTTGAGCTCTTAGGTTCTTCAGATTTAGACAAAGGAAAGAGAATTAACATATATATAATTTAAAGCAGTTCACAAGTTTGAGAGTTCGGTTAATCTATTTTAAAAAGAATCTCTTGCTCCGAGAGAATATATTGATATAAGGAGAATTACACAGAGTATTGGCTTATTGTACAAAAATGTTTCTTGTATCGTTTGAAAGGGTAATGCCTCATATTTATAGTTGGCCTAAGATCTATCCTGATCTATGGTGGGATTCCCGCATATATCTTGTAATGGTTGCACCTGTTGTGCAACGGCAATGGTGGATGCTAAGGTAGTTGCGACTTTATTTGCTTGGACAGGTGACTGTTATGGTTTGTGTGACGTTTTGGTGGAAAATAACTGTCATCGGTGCCACTAATAGAGGTGTTGACCTCGAACTTTTTGGTCACCAAGAATGGGTTGAGTTCTCGAGCTGAATAGGTAGGAATTGATCACCGGAGTTCATTCTTACATATTTTGGGTATCACTAGCTTCATATAATCGTTAGTTGGAGTTCAAAATTAAACTTAGTTGTCAAATGGACATAAGAAAAAATCCGAACTCAAACAACCCAAATTTACAAAATGAACCCCTAACCGACTTTTTTACTGTCCTCCATGGAGTTCACGACTTACTATTATGTTAGAACTCATGTCTCTTATTATTTTCAAAGAAACCGAACCCTCAAACTCAATTTAATTTTAACGCGTTAAAAATTGTTTATCCAACGGATCGAATAAGATTAAATTTTTAATATTGTTAGTTGGAGGATTGTAAGTTCTAGTGTTAGGGTGTGTTTGTTACCCCACGTTCAACACTTAAAACGAATTTATTCGACATTTATTAATTAAACTTATTTCATAACTAAAATTTAAATTTTTTTAATATGTTAAGTGTTCCTTAAAAATAAGTTAAAATATTAAGTAGGGGATCTCTTACTTAATTCTAAAAGCTTAAATTGTTCAACAAAATCATCTTTAATAATATTTATAATATGACAATTATACCCTAAAATATTTTATAATCCTATTAACACTCTTATTAGTCTTCTTTCCAAAATTCCTAACTTATTTATCCTGCCTCTTCCTGATCTCTTCTTTAGTGGGGTAAGTCTTCTTCCTTGTCTTTTTCTTTTTCTTCTTTTTTTTTTCTTCCCTTATCTTCTCTAACAAAAATATATATACACAATTACACACACATACAGATGTACACACTGCACACCCACACACGCGCGCGCACTCCACATTTATAGTTACACACGCACACACACATGCATTGCACTCACTCTGTGCACACACATACATGCCCTGCACACTCACCCACCCCNTACGCACGCGCGCGCACTCCACACTTATAGTTACACACACACACACATGCATTGCACTCACTCTGTGCACACACATACATGCCCTGCACACTCACCCACACACATAAATTGCACACACACATACATTATTAACGAAATTTAATTTATTATATTTTTTTTTTCATATTATTCAATTATTTATTAGTTATTATTCTTTTTTTAATCAAATGTTATTGTTAATTTATTGTGTTATTTAATTTATTACTGTTTATTTATTGTTATTCAATTATTTATTAGTTATTATTAACTTATTATGTTATTTAGATGTTATTTATTTATTTTTGATCAGATGTTATTGTTCTATTCAGATGTTTATTTATTTTTTGATTATATGTTTGTTAAATGTAGATTATAATATGATAATAGTTATTAAAATTTATGTTATTATATATTTTATATATATTTTTAAATTAAAGAGTGGAAGGGTAAAACTGAAAATGAATTTATTTTTATACGTTAACTCTGTATAGTTATTAAACAATTTAGTTCATTTAAATTTCAGTGGATACTAAATAATTCACAAATTTAGCATTCAGCTTTCAACTTTCANAAATTTATTTTCATACGTTAACTCTGTATAGTTATTAAACAATTTAGTTTATTTAAATTTCAGTGGATACTAAATAATTCACAAATTTAGCATTCAGCTTTCAACTTTCATATTTTAACTTTTAATTTTATCAAGAGTAAAGTTATATGGACTTAAAAATTAGATTTAAAAATTAAACTTGATAATCTCAAATATTAAATAGGTAATAGGTCCTAATAGATGCTGGAACCTATAATAAAATTAATAATTATAATTATCAAGTTTATTTTTTAAATTTACGTAACATTATTTTTTTATCAAACACTACCGTACAAGACATGTATTTTTCAAAACGTGCAGGCGTCCTTTGTCTTAATCATGACCAAACTTAAAAAGTCGTAAGGTTACGCTCAAGTAACACCATGCCGCATAGGGAATTCTATAATCTACGTAGGCATCGGCGAACCGCCGATATCTGCAACATTACTGACTCACATGACCCATTATTTTAAATCTCAGAAACAGTTTCTTAAAGGAAGCCATAAAGCTTCGAAAACGACTACACACTAAGCATGGTACTATGCTCAAAACCAGGAAACTAGCACATAGTATTCAGGGACTGGCAATCCATCCCAAGAACCCGGTATTTAGGATTGATATTCGTCTATTTTGTATCAAATTTGTGTCGTTTTTAAAATATATTTTATCAAAATATTATACTCAATATCGTTACAAAGGATTACATTAGTATAAATTTGAATGTGTCAAATGTTTTAAATTTTACCATTATACTTACTTCAAATATTTAAGTTATATCGTGTCAAAATATTCCCGGGCATGGTTTCTTGTGTGTTGTTTTTGTTAGTTTTTAAATTTTTTATTTTTACTTAGAATAATTAATGAAACAATTAATAATATAAGACAAATATTGGATGATTGAGTTTAGATGAGCTAACCACTTAAAACGACAAAAATGGTCAAAAAATTATATTAATAAGAGTACAAGATAGTAAGAGAGAGAGAACAGGAGTACACTTAAAGTGATGTGTCTGAGATTTGCTTCTATGTGTGGGGAGTTTATAATTTATAGGCATAAAACTTTAACTGTGACAGTAACATGAAGATCAAGTTACTAATTTGTCAGGAAAGATAACTACAGTTGGATAGGCACTACCTTAGAATAATGGTTATCTCAATGATTATTTTTTTTTACGTGCGTTGGCTTTGCTTGAAATTCATGAACTTGGACCGAAGTTATAAGTTAAGTCTCACCAGCCATTTGATTTAAGCTCCACCCATAAACTGGGCCAAGACATGATCTTGATCTAGGTTAGTCACTACTCAATTTAAAGATTTTATATGAAAATATTGTAGTCAATTCAACTAAAAAGTATCATATTAATATTTTTTACTTAATTGAGAGTACAATGTTAAAATTTTTATCTTTTATAATACAAATTAACAATTTAAAGATTGAAAAATGCTATTTTGACCTAAAAATCTGACATAATTTATTGATCTAATGACGTGATTTTGTTGGAACCATTGGATAAACATCAAATTTCAATGTTTGATAGAATCTACAGTTAATCCAAAGATTATAGTGAATTAAATCAATAAATTAGGTCCCAATAATATTGTTTTTAAAGATTTTCAAAGTTCAAATTGTTGTTCCCTTAAAATTGAAAAATAATTACATTCATAGAGTATTTGGGACTAATTTAACTCATTTGTTACTCTGCTAATTTGGTACAGTATTCTTGATTTCTCAAAAAAAATTATTGGCTAATTCGAACCCAATTGTTTTATTTTATTTGGGTACGTGTAAATTAGACCTATCAATCGTGTCGAGTAAAACGGGTCATAACTAAGTTTTAGTGAGTTTGTATTAAAATTTTTTTTCACTCATCCTCAATTCGTTTATTTATTTATGTTTAATGAATCGAGTCATATCGAATATAAATCATATATATAACTAAATTATGTCATATATTTTTTTTATTAATTTTATTTATATACGATTTATTTATTAAAAAAATAAAAAAATAGGGATTATTGGTCGGTAGAACCATTTAATTTAATAAGTAATCCGAATCAGCAAAATAGGAATCTACGTGTCAAAGGAATCAATCGTCTGACATGTGGACAAAGAATTCACAAGTGGCGAACATGAAGAGTCTCAACGTCTCCTTATATTGCTCTTGCCTCTCCTACCTTCAATCTCGTCAGCTCTCTCTCCCCCTATTCTCTCTCTTAATCCACACATTTCAGTCCCTCTGTAACATACCAATTTGCTTAATTTTCGCTCTTCCTTTGATCTCTCTGTGGATGTTATATCTTGAGCCTGAGCAACCCAAAACTTTGATCCATTCTTGTTTGTTCTTGAATTGAAATTTTTTCTAGAGAAAATGAAGGAAAATATGGGAAACCCTCTGCACCTAACATCTCTGAATCACATTTCACTTGTGTGCAGATCAGTGGAGGAATCCATTGATTTCTACACGAATGTTCTTGGGTTTGTCCCAGTGAGGAGGCCTGGTTCTTTTGATTTTAATGGAGCATGGTAAATTCATCGAAACAACCAAAAAAAATAGAAAATTTGACTGATTAGTATGAAAAAAAGAAGATTTTTCGTTGATTTTCTTGTTTTAATTTTCCTTGAAATTGTGCTGTTGATTTTCATGATAAAGTGAGTTTCTTGTGTTTGTTGTTATGTCTAGGCTGTTCAGCTATGGAATTGGTATACATCTATTGCAATCTGAAGACCCAGAAAACATGCCCAAGAAAGGTGAAATCAATCCCAAGGACAATCATATCTCTTTCCAGGTAAATTTTCTTGGTCTTCATCCCAGATTTACGGATAAGAAGAGACCATGTACCTTCAAAATTGATTAAAAATAGTACATCTTTGTTTGGTGCATTTATAATAATTGGTTGTAAATATAATAAACTAGAGTAAAATAATAAAACAAGAAAGTTTTAGCCATATCAAGTTTTTATTACGAAGGTATGTAACCATTTTAATAATTGTTATAGTTGTTACATTCCTAATAAATGCAAGGAATCAGCATATGAATGAATACAACAACTTTACAGATAACAAGAAGAAGAGATCTGACAATTGATGAACCATTTCTGGCTCCATTTACCTGCCATGGAAGTGATGATTGATGAGTCTGAATTAAGAAACAGATTCTATTTGGGATATTTGGAAATAGTTTGGACTATTATTCATTGTTGGTAATGTTTTTCTTTACAGTGTTGATGGTGATCTTCAAAGAGAGAGAAGCCACACGTTTTAGGACCAAGTCCTCCCCTACCTTGGGTAGGGTAGGTTAGGGTAGGGTATTAATAATTATAGATAAGAACAATGTTACACTGACTGAAATTAATAATAGGATTGTTAAATCAGTAAGTCTCGATCATTTTTATTAAATATATTCATACTATATATGACCCAAAAAATTTCTGATGGGCAGTGTGAGAGCATGGGTGCAGTGGAGAAGAAGCTGAAGGAAATGGGAATTGTCTACAAAAGGCAGAGGGTGGAGGAAGGGGGGGTCTACGTTGATCAGCTGTTCTTCCATGACCCAGATGGCTTCATGATCGAGATATGCAACTGCGATAACTTGCCGGTTATCCCGCTGGCCGGAGAAATGGTCCGATCATGCTCTCGACTGAATGTCCAGATAATCCAACATCAGCAGCAGGTCCATGTTGTCCGGCCATAGGAGCTTTAAGCTTCAGTCTCATCATGTCATTGACATATCTTTCTGCTTAATTTCTTTTGTGTCTGTCTGTCTGCCTGTCTGTTCTTTTTTTCTTTTTTCTTGTTTATTTTTTTGCATTTGGTTCTTGTAATAAGACAACTTGGTAATGACTTGTTTGGCAGATTGTATTTGGAATATAGGAAGCCAAATGGAAAATGACTTGTTTGGCAGATTGAATTGGAATCTAGTAAACCTAAAAAAAAACACGATACCGAAGAGATATGGTCAGGGTAAGTGTATAAATNATCATTGACATATCTTTCTGCTTAATTTCTTTTGTGTCTGTCTGTCTGTCTGTCTGCCAGTCTGTTCTTTTTTTCTTTTTTCTTGTTTATTTTTTTGCATTTGGTTCTTGTAATAAGACAATTTGGTAATGAGCCAAATGGAAAATGGTTTGTTTGGCAGATTGTATTTGGAATATAGGAAGCCAAATGGAAAATGACTTGTTTGGCAGATTGAATTGGAATCTAGTAAACCTAAAAAAAAACACGATACCGAAGAGATATGGTCAGGGTAAGTGTATAAATTTATAATAAAATTTATTATTATTGAATAATTTAAAAATTATAATTTTTATTAATTCTTTAACAATACTATCGTCTTATTATAATATATTTATAAAGTGCATATGATTAATTAAAAAATTTAAATTAATATTTAACTAATTGATTTGTTTACGAATATTTGTTTCAAAGGTTAAGGTGTAATTAATTCAATATTTTATATTTTTTTGACATGTTAGAATAGAGAATACTTAAAATAATATTCACACTTTTAAAGTGAAATTGAATTTTCTTGATGTTTTGTATTACTGGTTAATGTTCACTTGCGTGGCATATGCACCATTTTGCTTACCAATCTATTTTTATTATTATTGTAAATATTATCATATATCTTGTAATTTATATTTTTATAAAACAAGTGATCACGTAACAGATGNTAATATTTAAAATAATATTCACATTTTTAAAGTGAAATTGAATTTTCTTGATGTTTTGTATTACTGGTTAATGTTCACGTGCGTGGCATATGCACCATTTTGCTTACCAATCTATTTTTATTATTATTGTAAATATTATCATATATCTTGTAATTTATATTTTTATAAAACAAGTGATCACGTAACAGATGTACCTTGAAGTCAAATGTATGCTTGTCATAGTTTTTACAGATAAACAAACAGTAAATATGTTCTTGAAATGAAGGCGAGCAGTTTAAAACCAAAGTCCTTTTTGATATTATTCTCCAAAGTACAATTTTCAAAAATATGATACATAGGATCATCAATTTTCACGTGTGTTTTTTTGAGTCAATCACCTCTCTTTTTCCCCTATACAATACATAGAATCAAAGTTAGTCTTATATCTTACGAAAATTTAAAAACTGTTCACGATAAATCACTAAAATTAATTAATTTTACCTCAACAAACATTTGTTATATCCTGAACGCTGTTAATCTGCTCACCCTCTTTATATCTATTACCCCTAACCATCAACCAAACTTAGTAAATAGATATACAAACATTATAGAGTTTAGACCACATAGGAAAAAAAAAGAAGTATGCTTTCATGCAATTTAAGATCAAGTAGTACAACGAAGGCTCCCATGGCTAAAAAAAAATAGCCAATTTCTCTTTCTTCAATTTCTCTTCGTACTCTTCGTGGTTGGGTGCATATTCATCCTATTCATAAGATCATCATTCATTAGCCAAAAATATCACAATTGCAATTCAAATATCAGACCACACATATCTTTCGATGCGCTCGCTGCTCTTGTTATATAGCAGGACAACGAGGGATCCAAAATCTAAATATTCAAGGGGAGTGTGGTCTGGGTTACAAGCATAAGTTTATATAATTCCCAAAAGATGTTTACCATCAGTGAGATTATTAAGCCTATGAGCTATTCAACTTCTGAGTTAAATACCGCTTTGGATGTCTCTCTATTTCCTCTGGGGTCTTGGATGGGTGAAAGGTCCTATTTAAAGAATCCTATTTATTCTTAGAAGTTATTGTTGGAGTATAGATAGTCTAGGTTTATTAGGATTTCTTTTCTCTTTTTTACCCTTNATTATCATATATCTTGTAATTTATATTTTTATAAAACAAGTGATCACGTAACAGATGTACCTTGAAGTCAAATGTATGCTTGTCATAGTTTTTACAGATAAACAAACAGTAAATATGTTCTTGAAATGAAGGCGAGCAGTTTAAAACCAAAGTCCTTTTTGATATTATTCTCCAAAGTACAATTTTCAAAAATATGATACATAGGATCATCAATTTTCACGTGTGTTTTTTTGAGTCAATCACCTCTCTTTTTCCCCTATACAATACATAGAATCAAAGTTAGTCTTATATCTTACGAAAATTTAAAAACTGTTCACGATAAATCACTAAAATTAATTAATTTTACCTCAACAAACATTTGTTATATCCTGAACGCTGTTAATCTGCTCACCCTCTTTATATCTATTACCCCTAACCATCAACCAAACTTAGTAAATAGATATACAAACATTATAGAGTTTAGACCACATAGGAAAAAAAAAGAAGTATGCTTTCATGCAATTTAAGATCAAGTAGTACAACGAAGGCTCCCATGGCTAAAAAAAAATAGCCAATTTCTCTTTCTTCAATTTCTCTTCGTACTCTTCGTGGTTGGGTGCATATTCATCCTATTCATAAGATCATCATTCATTAGCCAAAAATATCACAATTGCAATTCAAATATCAGACCACACATATCTTTCGATGCGCTCGCTGCTCTTGTTATATAGCAGGACAACGAGGGATCCAAAATCTAAATATTCAAGGGGAGTGTGGTCTGGGTTACAAGCATAAGTTTATATAATTCCCAAAAGATGTTTACCATCAGTGAGATTATTAAGCCTATGAGCTATTCAACTTCTGAGTTAAATACCGCTTTGGATGTCTCTCTATTTCCTCTGGGGTCTTGGATGGGTGAAAGGTCCTATTTAAAGAATCCTATTTATTCTTAGAAGTTATTGTTGGAGTATAGATAGTCTAGGTTTATTAGGATTTCTTTTCTCTTTTTTACCCTTACTATAATTTTTATATTTTGCCTAAACTACAAGGATGTTTAAGTCACTCTGTATTATTTTTGGCTATATATACGGGACTCTACTTTGAGTTTGAGTATCCCTTTCACATATTTCAAGTTGGTATCAGAGCCAAAATCCTAGCCTCCATCTCTAAGTCTAACCCTAACCTTAACCCTAGCCTTCATCGCCTTCCCCTTAGATTGATGACAATAGCCCACAAAGATACAACGAATCGCTTTATCATCAAGTTTATGACGAGTAGGAGACCGATCCTGAACAAAACATGTGCATCCAAAAACACGAGGGGGGACCGGAAAAAGTGTCCGCTCAGGAAATAAGACCTGTAAGGGAGCCTTATGCTGAAGAACACGACTCGGCGTACGATTGCACAGAAAGGTAGAAGTCAAAANCTTATATCTTACGAAAATTTAAAAACTGTTCACGATAAATCACTAAAATTAATTAATTTTACCTCAACAAACATTTGTTATATCCTGAACACTGTTAATCCGCTCACCCTCTTTATATCTATTACCCCTAACCATCAACCAAACTTAGTAAATAGATATACAAACATTATAGAGTTTAGACCACATAGGAAAAAAAAAGAAGTATGCTTTCATGCAATTTAAGATCAAGTAGTACAACGAAGGCTCCCATGGCTAAAAAAAAATAGCCAATTTCTCTTTCTTCAATTTCTCTTCGTACTCTTCGTGGTTGGGTGCATATTCATCNTTAAGATCAAGTAGTACAACGAAGGCTCCCATGGCTAAAAAAAAATAGCCAATTTCTCTTTCTTCAATTTCTCTTCGTACTCTTCGTGGTTGGGTGCCTATTCATAAGATCATCATTCATTAGCCAAAAATATCACAATTGCAATTCAAATATCAGACCACACATATCTTTCGATGCGCTCGCTGCTCTTGTTATATAGCCAGACAACGAGGGATCCAAAATCTAAATATTCAAGGGGAGTGTGGTCTGGGTTACAAGCATAAGTTTATATAATTCCCAAAAGATGTTTACCATCAGTGAGATTATTAAGCCTATGAGCTATTCAACTTCTGAGTTAAATACCGCTTTGGATGTCTCTCTATTTCCTCTGGGGTCTTGGATGGGTGAAAGGTCCTATTTAAAGAATCCTATTTATTCTTAGAAGTTATTGTTGGAGTATAGATAGTCTAGGTTTATTAGGATTTCTTTTCTCTTTTTTACCCTTACTATAATTTTTATATTTTGCCTAAACTACAAGGATGTTTAAGTCACTCTGTATTATTTTTGGCTATATATACGGGACTCTACTTTGAGTTTGAGTATCCCTTTCACATATTTCAAGTTGGTATCAGAGCCAAAACCCTAGCCTCCATCTCTAAGTCTAACCCTAACCTTAACCCTAGCCTTCATCGCCTTCCCCTTAGATTGATGACAATAGCCCACAAAGATACAACGAATCGCTTTATCATCAAGTTTATGACGAGTAGGAGACCGATCCTGAACAAAACATGTGCATCCAAAAACACGAGGGGGGACCGGAAAAAGTGTCCGCTCAGGAAATAAGACCTGTAAGGGAGCCTTATGCTGAAGAACACGACTCGGCGTACGATTGCACAGAAAGGTAGAAGTCAAAACAGCAAAATGCCAATAAGATTTTGGTACCCTCATGCCTCTAAGCAGACAACGTACCATCCCTATCAAACTCCTATTTTTCCTCTCAGCAACACCATTTTGCTCAGGAGTATATGGACAAGTGAGTTGCTGAAGGATACCCTGAGAAGAAAGGTGAGACACTAAAGCATCAGACACATATTCTTTGGCATTATCCGAACGAAGAGCACGAACAATGACATCGAATTGTGTCTTAATCATCTGTAAAAACTGAGTGATTATAGGGAGCAC